TTGTTTGTAAAGATATTTGGCCTTGTGAAGGAGTGGATGCAGAAACAATTTGGCTCCACCCCCCGATAGAGGAAATAATATGTCCCCTATAGTTTTTGCTTTTGTAAGGGATGGTAGCGACCGATAAATTAGTAAATTTAGGTTTGGAAATTGATGAATTCTGGATCTTAGATCTTAGAGAACTTATCTAGTGCTGATAGGGCTTTGCTGCCAAACATTTATTGTCAAAAGAGGGGGAGGGGGGAGGGGGACTCACTTTTCCCCAACCTCTTAGAAGATAAGAATATCTTCTCCCATGTTTGCGGTGCCTATATTGTAGACAACGTTTACATATACATGTAGGCTATATGATAAACACGAGTGGTAAAACGTTGATTTTAGGATGCTGAAAATGTACAATTCATATTTCAGAGTACTTGTTATCTCGTTATAATGCAAAGGAATTACATACATATATATATTTGTTTTTTCCTTGCGAAGCGAACAACCCCCACGTGATTATTGAACCATGCAGTTCCCTCGACCAGTCCCCTCCCCGCTTCTGGTGCCTATGGTACCTTTCTCTATCTGAATTGTATGAGTAAATCTTGTCAGGCCTTAGCCAAACGCAATTATTTTTTGTCAAATGAACCCACTAATTACCTTAAGCCGTAACTGCTGCTCGAAGTCAGCCTGATTCTTGATCTTGTGATTTTGATGACCGACGATCACACACTTGAGACAGACATGGACCTTACAATCCTCGCAAAACATATCTTTGTTCTCTTGTCTGTGGATGCAGCACTTCTCGGATAGATGACCAATTCTGACCTTCCCGTTGTTGATATCCTGTATGGATACAATCTCGTGATCTTCATAGACTTTAAGAAATTGATGACAATCCAGACACCTATCACAAATGTAGTTATTACATGTACAGCAGAATGAGACGGCATCTTGCTGAAACTTGCAAGCAGTGCATTTTGGACGCATCTCAAGGACAGAGTTCATCCCTCCACACTGCGCGTGGTAATTGTCTACAAGTCCGTTGACAGTCACATTGGTGAGGAAATCATCGACACGATTAGCTGACAGCTTGGTGATCTTCCTGCAGAGAGGACAGAGCATGTGATCGAGATCCTGGTGGGAAAGGTCATAGTTCTTGAGACATTTCCGACAGAAGGTGTGCCCGCATGAAGTCAGGATGGTTGCCTCGTCGAAGATATCAAGACATAGTGGACACGTCAGGTTCTCTGAAGAGCTTGGAGCTTTCTCTTCCTTGGTCTTCTCAGCCATTGGAGCGAATATAAGATTTTTGGCTTATTACAAAAACGAGCTCATTCTACGCATATATCCAATGTCCAATACAGCTTAAAAGTGTGATCAGCTAATGTGTACTCAAAGCCAACAGTCAGTTCATGCAAACACAAACTATATGCAGTGACGTAGTCACGTAGTAGATTGTACCAAAGAGATATCTCTTTGATTGTACCAATATCCTGAGTCTATGTAACAAGTGAGTCCTATAACTGCATGTAGTTCTATAACTAATTTCTCACGTTGATTACAATTGTGTCGAAAGAGGTGCGGATAACGTTGATCAAAACTACTAAGTCTCTATTCAAGTGTATACATCAATACAAATGTGATTACAATACTAAACTCGCACTTCGTAGATCTTCTGTGAAAATAATGCATTTTGTACATGTTATGAATAGAAGTGGGTTTTCCCACAGAGAGCGCGCGCATCGTATAAGCACCTTTGAACTTTTCGGCGGTATTCATCATTTTGATCATAGAGGGCGACTTTTTTAGTTTTAATTGTGGATATATTGTGTTGGAGATCCACTTTAGTAGAATCCTAGGTAATAGAGCGACACTTTTTATTTGCTTTTATCACTGTTTTGAAGGGTACAAGGCGGTAAGCACACTTTATGTCACCCCTTCTTTCTCCACTATTCTTTCTTTATCTCCTTCCATTTCTCTCATTCTCTTCCCTTTTCATTTAAACATTTTTCTTAATTTTTTTAACGTATGGAATCCTACGAGGCCACTCTTATTTCAATGCAAAATTCGCCTAAAAAAATATTTCACCACTTCCCTTCTTAAATAAAAAAAATCTCATGATTTAGGCTTTTTACCATGACAATGTGAATCACGTTTGTCTGAAGAGCTGATAATGGAAAAAACAACTATATCAAATAAAATTTGTAGGCCCGATTATTGCACGGAAATATGATTCATTTGAATTAATAATGTAATAAGGTAATCATAAGAGTTGTGTTTGTGAAACTGCATTTCGAGAGGACAGGACTTGCAGAGAGAACAGCTTATGTGATCAAGATCCTGGTGAGACGGGTCATAGTTCTTGAGACAAGGAGTTAGAGAGGAGGAAAGGAAGGCAGAGGGTTTTGAGGTAGATTTTGTGTTTAAGTATAGGAAAAAGTCATAATAATATGTTGAGAAATATGAAACTCGATTTTGTTTATAAAAGTATTCACTCTTATTCTGAAAAAAAAAACATTGCTTGTTCTAGTTTTTGGGATGAAATAATGAGAAAAAGTCATAATAATATGTTGAGAAATATGAAACTCGATTTTGTTTATAAAAGTATTCAGTCTTATTCTGAAAAAAGCATTGCTTAATTGTTCCAGGTTTTGGGATGAAATAACTGTGTAGTTAGCTAATGTTTTCCTATTACTTAATTGCGATATATTTTAGTCATATACTTTGTAAATTTATGATTAATGTATTATGTTGTATTTATGTTCGTTTATCCCATCACAAAAAAGCTTCGATATAATTTTTCGGCTTGTATGAAATAGGACTATGGAATAATTCTTTGCTTCTATGTTATTTACGAAAAAGAAATAGTAGTTTTGAGAAATATATTCAATGAATACATAACCTTTGAACTTGATGGTAGTATTCAGTCATAGAGGGCGACTAATATCGGCTTTGGGTGCAGTCCACTGCCTGGACTATTCCGTTGTGGCGCGCCCAATCAGCTTAGAAAATAAGACACCCTCAACGCTAAAACGGAGACATCCATTGCCTTCCATTCCAGTACCTTTGGGATTTGACGACTGGTGTATCTTAGGAAGTTAGGGGTTTGCGCGATCTGTGTGGGTTGTGTTAAAGGTAGAAGGACATAGATGATCCAAAAATACACAATTATATAGAACGGACAGAATCTGTACTACTTTGAGTGTGGAACTATGTTCCAGATCTACTTTAATAATCCTTGGTAACAGAGCGTTTGTTTTCATGACTACAATGATTTGGAAGGGTAAAGGACGGTAACTTGTATTCCATCCCTTTCTTGTTCCATTATTCTTTCCGGCCTATCAATTTCTCTCTTTCTTTTACTCTTTCTCTGTCAACAATTCCGTTTAACATTTGCCTGGAAAAAAAAAAATTACCACTTCCTCTCATTAAAAATCTTATGATTTAGGCTTTTAACCCTGATATGTGAATTACGTCTCTGTCTCAAGAGCTGATAATGTCAAAAATAGATCAAATTGAATATGTTACTATACCCCATATTGCACGGAAATATGATTTATTTAGAATAATCATGCATAGACTCTATAGTATAAGGACCATGAAATAAAGATATGATTTTCTCTCATCACAATTCTGTCGGATATATGCTTCTATCATTAATTTTGTTTGTCTCGCTCTCTCTCTCTCTCTGTCACTCTATCTCTCACTCTCTCTCTCTCTCTCTCTCTTTCTCTCTAACACTCAAACACAAGGATACACACTCGATCTCATGCTTTCAATCTCTTTTTTTCTCACACACTCTCTCTCTCTGTCTCCGTATCCTCTATCTCTGTCCCTCTGTCTGTCTGTCCGTCTCACTATCTCTCTCTCCCCCCTCTCTCTCTCTCTCTCTCTCCATCTCTCCATATCCCCTATAAACAAATGAATATTTCCAAAGACTTTGATATGTGCAATGCCTTCAAAGTTTTTTTTTTTTACCTCAGTAACACTGAAACAAATTCAGGAAAATGTTTTTATAATCTGAAAAATAGGCTGCTCTTGTTATTTTTAATCTGGTTACGCATGTAGTAATAACAAAATGATACCATTTTTTTTTGCAGGTGGCAATATCAGCGAGTACAATCATCTGACACAAATATCCAGTGTCGATCAACTATACCATGTACTTACAACAACAAAATGTACATGTAATGTATGCTCTCTTTCCTTTCTATTTCTAATTTTTTTAAAAGACAAAAATTTAGAGGAAAATGTTTTAAAGGTACTTTACAAAACTGTGTACAAAACATTATATGTAGAGGCCAGAAGTCTGTCCCAAAATAGTCATAAGAATTGACTAAACAAAGTAAAAACTTAGACCATCCATGCTATTCTCGAAAAAAACGCCAGTCTGGAGAATGCCCCCGGAGTTGGTCCCAAGAGCCCTCGAAAAGGGAATGCAAGTCGATCACCTTGGGTCATCGCATCTATATACCCATGCACCAAACTTCGTCAGGAGTAAGTTGTAGGTACATTATTATGACACAAAAACTGAAACAAAATCTTAGGTCGGGATGGGTTTTCAGACGAAAGACCTAAACTGTATGACTATACGTCACCAAAAACATACAATGACATACTTTTCCATCGAGATGCGCTTACTAAATAAAAATAAAATCATAATAAAAGACAAAAAAAAAACGTTAGAACGAGTGTCTGCGATGTCATAATTATATATTAATCCAAACATTTTGTGCTGGTATGTCATTTTCTAGCGATGAGAAAAAAATAAATTATTAAAATGACGTTTATTCCAGATTTATCACTGGATATGCCAAGCATGTCTTCTAGCATGACCAAAGGGAAGTTTAATATCCTCATCATTTCTACAATTTCACATATAATAATCACAATCCTATCTGACCTTATTCCAAATTCCACGTCACTAATCGACGGTCTGTATAGATTTAATTGAATTAAAACGAATTAAACTAAACAGAATTGGATTTAAGAGGTAATTATTATAGAAAGAAAAACTGCCGAATTCACATAAAATATGCAAAGTTGCATTGCCAATTATAACAGAAATGCAGTAAACGTTTAAATAATAATAATAATAATAATAATAATCTTTTAAAGTCCACTCCAAATTTCATTAAGTTAAACCGAAAATGGAAATTCTTTTTGCCCAATTAAGATGTTTAGTCAAGGAACAAAACTTCCGACTGTTAACCTAGGCCTATTTTTTTTCCAAACCACAATGTTCTTCTCTACATCATAACCAACTTATCCGTCACATTATCACTTCCCAGAGCTTTCAATTTAATGGATCTTAGACAGGTTGCAAATTGAATACGTAGGAATTTTTTCAGGGAACATAGCAATTTGATTTGATGTATTTAACATGCAGGTTCAATGTAACATTTATACGAAGAGTAAAATGATATTTAAAAATGTCAACGTGATAATAATAAATTGATAACTTGACGGGATAACCCGTGAAAGCTGAAAAGCTTATTTACATTGAGGTCCTATTTAGTGTCATTTTTAACTATTTCATCATTTTAATCACCACAATAGTCAAGAAATATAAGCACGAAAATTAAAAACAAATATTTGAGAATAACAACATGAGGGCAATGACACTAATAACAAGTTAATCAATATCTTACCAATTTTCAAGTTGTTTATTATGTTAGCATGTTACTGGCTTTCAGTAAATATCTAGGAGAAACGATCACACAATTTACATACTATTTCTAAAGAGGGAAGTTATGATTATATAGGATATTGGCAACGGTATTCAGGCAATTAACATCTATCGAGAGGATAGGCATCTTCTCATTCGGTTGGTTAACACATAATAAACAATATAATTATGACACTTGATAGGCCCTTATTACAGTGGAGCTGGAGGAAAGAGGTATACAATGATGGTATATAGTGTGACATGGATTACAGTGTTACTTTGATAAAATACAACTTATCGTAACAAGAAAACGCGAGCATGTCTGGAGAGAGGGAAACCAAGTAACACAAACGAAAACCAAGCGTCAGATTAAGTACTTTGAACTCAACTCTTTCCTTCAGGTTCAGACCATCAAGGTCATAGAGCCTGATCACCACGTTACCATTCTCTTGATCAACACTCGCCACATACACCCTGTCCTGCTCATCCACGGCGGCATACAAGTAGACACCGCTTGGAGCTTGTAGAGACTTACCAGCTTTCCCATCCCTGTCATAGACCGTCACCACGCTTGGATTGGTGTTACATGAACTCGTGACGATCAAACCCGACCTGGTGGCAGATACCTGGCCCGTCCCATTGTGTTTTGTTGGGACAGTGTGTTTGAGAGTGGATCCAGTCGGGTCATAGATGTAGACTTGCTTTTCATTGTTAGCGATGAGGATTTCATCTGATGGACTTCTGTTTAGTCTGAACAAAGTGGGATCGCCTTTCACGTGGATAGTTGATTTCCTGGATCCATTGGGAGAATATATGTGTGCTTCTTTACTGCCCCAAGATACGCATAACGACCTATCTTGTTGAAACACAAGAGCATTACACTCCATGTTACTTGGTATGTTTGCATACTGGTGCTTTTTACCAGCTGAATCAATGATATCTATACCATGTGTACCATCATATCCGATAGCCACACTATCATCAGAGTACTGGGTCATTCCCCACATCCATCCCCGTAGATCTACACACTGAATGACTTGCAACTTGGGATCTGATTCTGAGATGCTCCCGAGGTCAAGACGAGTATCTGCAGGCTTGAACCTCTTCTTCTGTGCTTTCTTCGTAATGGCTGCCGCAGAAGTGTGATCACTAGCCTTCTTCAGCATGGCATCCAGCTCCTCACAGAGCAAGGTATGAGCAGACAGATTGTCTGTCTCAAGACGACCCAGTCTGTCATTAGCTACCAGTGTTATTGAACTACAAATACTCTTGATCCTCTGTCGATTGTTGAATTTCAAGACATTGAGGTTGTCATCGAAACTCCGCTTTAATGCATTTATTTGCTCTATGAGATTTCGATGACTTTCTTCAAGCTCTTTGGCCTTGATGCTGTAGGCTTGACTGACATCGTCCAGTAGTTTCTGCACGGCAACGTATACTTCATGGCGTTGTACTTCCACATTCTGAATGTTCTTCTCCAGTTCTGTCTTCTTAGCGGCACATCGCTGGACAAGGTCATTCACCTAAACAAAACAAATAATAGAGAAGTGAATAAAACATTTTCTATATAGAATGAGATGTATGCAAATTACATGGAGCTGGTTTGAAAATGAAACACCGATTTTGCACGCGCCTGAAGTTTCACTAAAGTTAGAACCACTCTTTTCAAGGCTTCACTTTTAGGGGGCATCGTAACCATTTATTTTGTATTCTTTTTATATTACATACTTATATATTTGATTTTAAATGGTTAAAAAATGAACTGAATTTAAGATGATGATACCATGTATGGAGGAGGGGGGGGGGCAAACACTCTCGATGTTTAAGGATTTTAGACTAATGTATAGCTATGAAATGTAGCTTCGCTTACTACCTTCAAAAGCCCCCCCCCCCCCTCCTTTCTTGATATTTATAAAAGAGAAAAAGACTTTGCATTCCTCATTTTGATTGTAGTATTGGATTGGAATGTAGCTTCTTAAAATAAGCAGATGTTTTAAAACACAGAAACAGATTTAAGATATTTGAAAATTGAAGCATATTTAAAATTATTATTCTAAGAATGACATAACATACCTCATATACAAGTGTTTCTATGATATCAAGGATTATATAGCTCGACAGAAAGTTTACTATTACGCGGGGGAGTGTAGCGACCGAGCGAAATTATTTGCTTCTGCGAAATTTAAAAGTTCAAATATAGTTTGAAACACCACGGAAAATCCCAGCCTACTTCAAAATAATGATTTTGCATATAATTATGTGAGCAACAGAAAGAGCCTCATGTCTTCTAAGAGGGGGTGGCAAAAGTGTCGCCCTACCCACTTAACTAGAGAGAAGCATCGATCTTCACTCCCTATCTGCTTCAAGACTACATTATATATAGTAGACAGGGTTTGTACAATGATAAGAAACATTCCAACTATTAAAAAGCAAGGAAGACCAGTGACCGAGAGGAAAAAGAGAGCGTTTTGGAAAGTTATAACCGTATTTTAGAGCACTTAATTGCTTTTCTAATCTGCAATATCACATGTAATTGTGCTATTGTCTTGCGAGCCGGGCGGGGCCTTTGCCTTCTCCCCCTTAATAGAGGAAAGCTCTACCCGAATACTCCGGGGCCTTGGGTATTAAAGCGCTTTTGTATTTTATAGCTAAAGAAGACTATACACCGTTATACATGCAAGTTAGGAACTACATTGAGGATTTCAACATGGTTTACTGAAAACGTGAACATTCAGATCATTGCATGTTGCATTTTTGCACCTTTACAGAAATATTTAAAGCTAATCAATACACGCCTAAATTGTGGCTTGTAAAGGGGGGAAATAATTTATAATTTAGCCGCCACCTTGACAGAAAGAAAAAAAATCATCAGCCTCCTCGCTTTTATGTTTTGGAAGAAAGGGTACATTTATTATGCGAGGGTGTGTAGCAATCGAGAGGGAATTTTAGAACATGGAATAGTGACACTTTGTTTTTGTAGAATCTCTTTTTTGTTGTTGCTTATGCTGCAAAATTATTGATGTCAAAAGATTTTGTCTGGCAAGGGAGGCGGGAAAAACAAATCCTCCTTTGTAAAGATATTTGGCCTTGTGAAGGAGTGGATGCAGAAACAATTTGGCTCCACCCCCCCCCCCCCGATAAAGGAAATAATATGTCCCCTATAGTTTTTGCTTTTGTAAGGGATGGTAGCGACCGATAAATGAGTAAATTTAGGTTTGGAAATTGATGAATTCTGGATCTTAGATCTTAGAGAACTTATCTGCTGATAGGGCTTTGCTGCCAAACATTTATTGTCAAAAGAGGGGGGGGGGGTCTCACTTTGCCCCAACCTCTTAGAAGATAAGAATATCTTCTCCCATGTTTGCGGTGCCTATATTATAGACAAGGTTTACATATACATGTAGGCTATAATAAACACGAGTGGGAAAATGTTGATTTTAGGATGCTGAAAATGTACAATTTAAATTTCAGAGTACTTGTTATCTCGTTATAATGCAAAGGAATTACATATATATATATATATATATACATTTGTTTTTTCCTTGCGAAGCGAACAACCCCCACGTGATTATTGAACCATGCAGTTCCCTCGACCAGTCCCCTCCCCGCTTCTGGTGCCTATGGTACCTTTCTCTATCTGAATTATACGAGTAAATCTTGCCAGGCCTTAGCAAAACGCAATTATTTTTTGTCAAATGAACCCACTAATTACCTTAAGCCGTAACTGCTGCTCGAAGTCAGCCTGATTCTTGATCTTGTGATTTTGATGACCGACGATCACACACTTGAGACAGACATGGACCTTACAATCCTCGCAAAACATATCTTTGTTCTCTTGTCTGTGGATGCAGCACTTCTCGGATAGATGACCAATACTGATCTTCCCGTTGTTGATATCCTGTATGGATACAATCTCGTGATCTTCATAGACTTTAAGAAATTGATGACAATCCAGACACCTATCACAAATGTAGTTATTACATGTACAGCAGAATGAGACGGCATCTTGCTGAAACTTGCAAGCAGTGCATTTTGGACGCATCTCAAGGACAGCGTTCATCCCTCCACACTGCGCGTGGTAATTGTCTACAAGTCCGTTGACAGTCACATTGGTGAGGAAATCATCGACACGATTAGCTGACAGCTTGGTGATCTTCCTGCAGAGAGGACAGAGCATGTGATCGAGATCCTGGTGGGAAAGGTCATAGTTCTTGAGACATTTCCGACAGAAGGTGTGTCCGCATGAAGTCAGGATGGTTGCCTCGTCGAAGATATCAAGACATAGTGGACACGTCAGGTTCTCTGAAGAGCTTGGAGCTTTCTCTTTCTTGGTCTTCTCAGCCATTGGAGCAAATATAAGATTTTTGGCTTATTACAAAAACGAGCTCATTCTACGCATATATCCAATGTCCAATACAGCTTAAAAGTGTGATCAGCTAATGTGTATTTAAAGCCAACAGTCAGTTCATGCAAGCACAAACTATTTGCAGTGACGTAGTAGATTGTACCAAAGAGATATCTCTTTGATTGTACCAATATCCTGAGTCTATGTAACAATTGAGACCTATATAACTGCATGTAGTTCTATAACTAATTTCTCACGTTGATTACAATTGTGTCGAAAGAGGTGCGGATAACGTTGATCAAAACTAGTGAGTCTCTATTCAAGTGTATACATCAATACAAATGTGATTACAATACTTAACTCGCACTTCGCAGATCGTCTGTGAAAATAATGCATTTTGTGCATGTTATGAATAGAAGTGGGTTTTCCCGCAGAGAGCGCACGCAGCGTTAAAGCACCTTTGAACTTTCGGCGGTATTCATCATTTTTATCATAGAGGGCGACTTTTAAGTTTTAATCGTGGATACATTGTGTTGGAGATCCACTTCAGTAGAATCTTAGGTACCGTAAAAGAGCAACACATTTTTTTGCTTTTATCACTTTGTTTTGAAGGGTACACGACGATAATCACACTTATATGTCACCCCTTCGTTCTCCACTATTCTTCCTTTATCTCCTTCCATTTCTCTTATTCTCTTCCCTTTTGTTAATTTTTTAACTTATGGAATCCTACGAGGTTACACTTATTCCAATGCAAAATTCGCCTAATAAATAGTTCACCACTTTCTCTCTTATATACAAAACCTCATGATTTAGGCTTTTAATCAGAGTTTTGTTTCCAACACTGCATTTTGGGGAAACTGTCGAAATTGTTTTTCTTTTCATTGTAAGGACAGAGTGAAAGGGTTGTTTTGCACCAAAAAAGTAGCCAGAATAAGTCTGAAACATTGCTCGAATCATATATCTATGTGTATCGGTTTTGACTGTTTGTGATTTGCATCAAGATTGATATCAGTGTGTTATCTTTTTAATGATTCCGAAATCTCACAATAGCCTACACAATTTACCTTAAACAATTACTCCTATATACTGCAAAATCAACATTTCCCGATTACTTTACAGACAGTTTTCCATCGCTTCTGGACAGTTCCTCTCGTACATATCATGCAGTTAGATTTGTAAAGAGAAACAAATATTTAAATCATTCCTGGTGATGTAATCAACAATCATGAAAATGTAGGGGTAATTACCAATGTCTAAAAATTGCATATTTTCGCTTCGAGGTTTCCCTTTTTTGGTGCCCCCTTTTCCAGAAAGGGACCCTTTTTGTTGTTGCCCCCCCCCCCCCCCCGCGCCGCCCACTTTGGAAGACGCTTCACGCTTTGTACTGGCATTTAACATGTGTTTACGTTATATTTTTACAGTTAAACCAAATTTCTCTCTTTTCTTCATGTGTAACGTATTACTGTCTAATAATAATGGACACATTGGAAGGCCACAGGGATAAATGTGAACAATCTTCTGGTGGCAACGACTTGTCTTTATACTTGATTATATATGTACAGGTGTAGTTCGTTTTCGTCTTAATTCTACTTCTACTTCACCTCTCTTCTTTTTAGCAAGAAAGTGTGCAAATGATTATTACCATACATTCTTTAGCTGGAGTGACTGATGTGTAAAGATTGTTTATGTACAGTGTATACTTGTAAATAGAAAAAAAGAAATAAATTAAGATGTTGAGTTAGTTTTCTTTCCTCCATAGTTATACAGACTCCATTCGTTCATTGTACCGGCTGTACTTTTACTGCAGTTATACAAATAACTCACACAGACTGTTGGTCAAATGTCAAAAGCTAATCGAGGAATGGTCTCTTTATTTTTTAGTGGGGGTGAATGTCTGTGTTATTAAAACAGAATTTCATGGACTGTACGTTCAGTAACGTATCTATCTTCTTTTTTCTTTTTTTCTTTTTTTTTGGGGGGGGGGGGGGGGTAAGAAAGTTGGCCCGTATATCTGACTACAGTGGTTAACTTATAACTGTATGCATTGGATAAGCATTCAACAAAATCTCCTTTCTTAAAACAACTGTCCTTGACCAACACAGAATTACCTTTCGCTCCTTTCTGATCGTGGACAAGTTGGAAAGAAAGAGAGAGAGAGAGAGAGAGACGGATAGATGAAGTAGAGATGTACCCCCCCCCCCCCCCCTCTGAGGTAGGTGCATGTAGGTGCAGACAAGCAGATGGACGGAATATGGAGGAGAAAGAACGTGTAGATCAGAAAGAGAGGAAAGGAAAGAAAAGGTACATCAGAGTGATGGGGTTGAGGGAAGACTAGTCGGAGAGGGACAAGGGGACAAAGAGATGGAGGAAAGGTAAATGAAGATTGAAGGCAGCATTCTTAAAGGAGAAGTCCACCCTGATATTATGCTGTTCTCTATAGAAGCAGACCATGAGAGAAGACAGGTTTTCTTTTTTTTTTTTAATTCTTTATTGATTACATTCAATGCACAAATCATACATAAACAATATTTATTTTGAATACAACTAACCATGTAACAGAACAAATAAAATAATTGCATGTTTATTTCCGCTACGACAATGCTCATTACCTACATAAACAACCCACCTTGCAGGCTATATACACTGAGAACCAATTAGAAAAATAAAATCTTTAAATGAAATCCATTATAACACCCCACATATACACATAACATACTAAACAAAAACAAAAGGAGAGAGAGAGAGAAGAAATGAACGAAAACAGAAATAGGAAAAGAAAGACAGCTTGTAGCGGCTCGGAAGAAGAGGTCAAACAAGGATAGATCATCAGACCATGTAATCCCTGATCCCACGATGATATATTATTCTAACATTGTGTTAAGATGAAATGTTCACATTTTTTTTAATGATGAATATAATTGTAAGAGAAAGACAGGGGCGACAGGGCGTCTTCCAAAGTGTGTGTGTGTGGGGGGAGGGGGGCAACAACAAAAAGGGTCACTTTACTAAACATTACTGAAAGGTACATGTATCTATATCTATCTATCTATTTGAGTATCTTCTCCCGGTTCGGAGGTTGATTGCAACATCTCTCCATTGCACTCTATCTTCTGCCATTCTGGTGCACTCTTGCAGTTTTAGTCCACTCCAGTTCTTGACATTCTCTTCCCAGTTGATTCTGGGATTCTGATCTATATCACTACAAGTAAAATTTTGCTCAAAATAATTTAAGAGAAGATATAAATCATTAATCGTCTAAACTAGTGCTGGAAGGGATAGAACTACATTTTACCTTTCATTCCAAGGTCGACTATGTCCAAAGACGTTGACAAAGTGATGTGGAGGTGTGCAATGGCGGATCCACGTGATGTTTTAGCTTTTTTGGGGGGATGCCCCCCCCCAAAAAAAGTGCTCACTACCCCCCCCCCCCCTCTCCCCCCCCTCCCCCCCCCCCCCCCCCACTGAGCGACTTTTCGGCGGGCGTGATTTTTCAAATTTTAGGGAGCTAAAAAAAAATTTAAAAATTGGGCCCCTCCCCTGGGAAATCCTGGATCCGCGCCTGGAGGTGTGACATCTAAATCTGTGTCGTCTCATCTCAAATTGTTGTCATAAAATGGGACCTTTTTTATCCCCAAACACGCAGCCCCCCCCCCCCCCCCCCACACACACACACACTTTCAAAAATTATCGTAATTTTGTTTTATTCCTCCAAATGTGTAATACAAACATACAATCGAATAAAATAAAAAAACGTTTTCAATGTTGATTGCTTATACATTAACATAATTAAACAAAAACTCATTTGCACTATAGATAACTGAGCAAAAATTGAAAGTAAACTTAAAGTACATAAACATAATTTATAAGTCAATTGTACATATTATTCATTATATAAAAAAATATTTTCAAAAATGGAGGTTATTTTACTGGCACGGCCAGCTCCCCCTCCCTCACACAAACACACACACACACACACACACACACTACTCACTCAGTGGATGTCTGCTAACATTCTCAACTCAAGAAAAACATATGTAATAATTAAGTTTTTAACCAGGCCGCAAAATAGAGTTACACAACAAGCCCACGGTGGAGAGGAAAACTAATCTTGATTAATACTAAGCTGCTCCCACTTTAAAAAATGTAATCCCAGCTTTTCCATTCTAATAGCTTTTTTCTTTTCCTCATCCCTATAATTAAAAATAGTTTTCTTCATCTTCACTAAAGTTGGTGCTTGCCCCCCTCCCCCGATCTTGACATAAATATAACATACTTCACCTCACACAAATAGGCACACACGCACACACACACACTATTCACAATAGTCTGGCCCTGGCCTTGCAGACACACACCCACACACACACAGCACCTTCAATGCTTTTGGTAGGACTTCTAGTTGAGGTTTGAGTAAAGATGATCTATCTCCTCTTTGAATTTGGCTTTGATGGCGGCTCGTTTATTCTTGAAGGTTGGTGTGAGAAGTCCATTCTCTACGGAGAAGGGCTCGGGATGAAGGATGTATTCTTTCACCTGTAAATACAATCAATCGAGATAACATCAATCGAGATGCAATCAATCAAGACGCAATCAATGGACGGATACAATCAACAAAGATGAAACCAATCAATTAAGATTCAATTAACTGAAATGCAATAAAACGAGATGCACTCAATCTAGATGCACTCAATCTAGATGCAACCAATCTAGATGCAATCAATCAATTAAGTTGCAATCAACTTAGATGCCATAAATCGAGATGCGGAGGTATCTCTTTGTGAAGTTAACAATCCAAACTTTGTTTTCTTTTGTTTGTGAGTTACTAAATATTTGGGGCCCTTCAACGTTTTAAAAAGTCCCCTTCTGTAGTCATTAGATTATACAATACGTTCTGAATTGTTGGAATAGCATATACATGTCATTCAAATTGTTCATCAAAATGATTTCATGTGTTAGGTCTACATCAAAATTTTGCTATATTATGTTATTTAGGCTGAAGCCTACCTTCAGATCACTGTCTACATGTTGATGAGTGGTTAAAAAAATTGTGGATCCTTAATTACTTTTATTCAAGCTTCCATTTTCCCCTAAAATTCCTGCAATTGAAGAAATTTTCTAAAATTGAATTTCAAGGTCAATAAACAGTCTGTAAATGCGCATGGTGAACCATAAAAGGGATCGGCGAAAAGTTCATAGGAATTTTCATAATAATGATTCAGGATGAGTGTTCACCTTCTCGAAGCCACACAGATTTGCAGCAACGCATTTTTTGTCGACATCCTCCCGAATAGCCATTCGTACCGTCCGTAGAGGAAAAGAAGAAAATAACAAAAGACAG